TGTATGAGAGCTTAGTAGGAAGCTCTCATACATATTTGAATTGTTTTTGTGTTTATGTTTAAGTTGAAATGTGACATTCTGATATAGATTGCGTTTGAAATATAGATTGTTTAATTACTTTTTGTTTGATTCTACATGATCTGAGATGTTGTAATATAGAAAGAGCATATATTGACCGACCTAGATACCCGTTTAAAATTTACTCATTAGGAGTAAATTTTATATAGCTCCCAATTTGGAGCTCTTCTTGAAATGCTTCTCTCACTTAGGTAGTGAGTTTATTTTTTAATCTTTGTTCTGTCATTTTTTGGTTTGAAGTTTCCTAAATTTGTTCTTTGGGTGCATACGTAATTACGCTACATCGTGCACTTGGAGGACCATTGGGAAATGCTGGCGAAATTTTGATAGGTAAAATAAAATGAAATACATTTACTAGTGAGGGTGGCATTTTAAGAATGGGTTAGGATGGTGTAAAGAAGGACCATTTGTATAATGAAGAAGTGCTGCCGGATTTTTTTTACATCATAAGAAATAAAATATTGTGTTGCTTGTATCTCTTGTATGTTTGTGTGTATATATAAAATGAGTGTTAATAATTTTGTTGTGCATTATTTTCCATGCATCAATCATTCTCCCTTCTTTCTTGCTAAGGAATTCATATGATGGATAGAAGCTGGATTCATATGTCGCGTGCGTCACCTGAGTTTAGTTCTTGTTTGGAAGAGTTTATTCGTTTCGCAGAGAAACATTCAAAAGAAGGAAAAAAGCTATATTCTCCTTGTAACTCATGTCACAACCATTTTATGGTTGATAGCGTTAAAGATATAAGATTATATGTGTATCGCAAGGGTTTTGACCCAAGATACCTGCGATGGAAATGGCATGGAGAGTTAGAAAATCCTTGCAGCTCTAGTCATACTCACAATGAACAAGTCGAGGATGATATTCACGACATCCACAATCTTGAGATTGAAATGGAAAAGGAGTTAGGGGCCACTCAAGATGTTCTTCCTTATCAAGTCGTCATTGATGAAGAGCGTAATATGTATGAGAGCTTAGTAGGAAGCTCTCATACATATTTGAATTGTTTTTGTGTTTATGTTTAAGTTGAAATGTGACATTCTGATATAGATTGCGTTTGAAATATAGATTTTTTAATTACTTTTTGTTTGATTCTACATGATCTGAGATGTTGTAATATAGAAAGAGCATATATTGACTGACCTAGATACCCGTTTAAAATTTACTCATTAGAAGTAAATTTTATATAGCTCCCAATTTGGAGCTGTTCTTGAAATGCTTCTCTCACTTAGGTAGTGAGTTTATTTTTTTTATCTATGTTCTGTCATTTTGTGGTTTGAAGTTTCCTAAATGTGTTCTTTGGGTGCATATGTAATTACGCTACATCGTGCACTTGGAGGACTATTAGGAAATGCTGGCGAAATTTTGATAGGTCAAATAAAATGAAATACATTTACTAGTGAGGGTGGAATTTTAAGAATGGGTTAGGATGGTGTAAAGAAGGACCATTTGTATAATGAAGAAGTGCTGCCAGATTTTTGTTACATCATAAGAAATAAAATATTGTGTTGCTTGTATCTCTTGTATGTTTGTGTGTATATATAAAATGAGTGTTAATAATTTTGTTGTGCATTATTTGGCATGCATCAATCATTTTCCCGTCTTCTTGCTAAGCAATTCATATGATGGATAGAAGCTGGATTCATATGTCGCGTACGTCACCTGAGTTTAGTTCTTGTTTGGAAGAGTTTATTCGTTTCGCAGAGAAACATTCAAAAGAAGGAAAAAAGCTATATTCTCCTTGTAACTCATGTCACAACCATTTTATGGTTGATAGAGTTAAAGATATAAGATTAAAGTGT